TGGGACCTGGCCCCAGTCCCACAGCAGATGCCCTGGCCCTGAACTCCAGAGCCAGGTGACCAGGCTCTCGGTCCTGTCCTGACCCTGCTGCCTTCCTGGTGGGTCTCTGGGGTCCTCCACTCACCCTGCCACAGGGCAGGCATGGGATCGGAGGGGAGCAGGGCCCCCGGGAGCTGTGACCGAGCCTCTGGTGTCAGTCTGCTCAGCTCTGCGCTGCGTGGGGCAGCGGTCCCGGGGGACAGGCCGTCAGCCAGGTCCAGAGGAGGAAACAGGCCGGACAACGGGGAGCAGATCGTGCCCTGCGCTACTGTCTCATGGCCGGCAGGACAAGTCACCACAAACTGGGGGCTCAAAGCAGCACGGACTTCCTGTCCTCACTCCTGGAGGCCAGAGTCTGGAATCAGGATGTAAGCGGATGCTTTCTCCTGGAAGCTCTGGGGAGAGTCTGTCCCAGGCCTCCCTCCCGCTGCCGGGGCTGGGCTTCCTCGACTTGTAGACACGCCCCCCAGCCTCTGCCTGTGTCTCCACGTGGCCCTCTCCCGTGTCTCTCCTCTGCTCTCGTGAGGACACTGGTCACTGGATTTAGGGCCATCCTTGTCTAGGGCGGCCTCGCCTCCAGACCCTTAGCTTAGTTATGTCCACAGAGACCCGTTATCTGAATAAGGTCACGTTCACAGGTGTTGGGGGGACATGTATTTTTGAGGGGAGCTGTCAATCAACCCATCACACATGGTCACCTTGCATATGCTGCCCTGTCTTTATTTTTAAGAAAAAAAATATTTTTTTGCATCTTGGAGATACAAGTGTGTGTGTTTGGTCTCTGCTACTTACCAGCTGTGTGTCCCTGGGCAGGTTGCTTGACTGTTCTGGGTCTCAGTTTGCTCATCTGCAAAATGGAGATATTAATGGCCCTTCCCCCCACTGGGTTGCTGGGACCAGTTGGAGGAGATGCACCGCCCTGGGGCAGGGAGAGGTGTTGCAGAGGACACCTTTTATGAGTACTTCAGCCAGCACATTGGTTCTGAAATCAACCTGGCTGGATTTCTGTTTCGTGAGCTTGCCCCATTCTGAGGCTCATAATGCTGCTGCGGACCCCTGGACACCGAGGTCCTCCTGCAGGGCCATCCAAGGGAAGGTTCTGGAAGTGGACCTGCTGGGGCTAAGGGCTTGTACCTTTGTGACTTGAAGAGCTGTGCCCTCCGGGGGTGACCCGGCTCTGCCCCTCGGAGCGTGGAGCCTGGCTGGTGGCCTGCAGCGCCGTCACCCAGACCCTACCAGTCCCATGTGATGCACAGGCTCCCCTTCAGGGGCTTCACCTGCATTTCTCTTGTTTTGGAGCCAGTGGAGCATCTGCTCACGTGGAAACCCCTTTCTCCCCTCTCCTTTCTCGCAGCTGCCAGCTCAGCTTATTTCTCTGATCCTCACCCTTCCCCCAGGTTGGGGTCTCTGAGTTGGGTGGGTGCCCCTGCCATATGTGGGGCCCTTTCTCACCCTAGTGGGTCCTCGTGGCTATGCCCCAGGGACAGGGAGCAGGTGCCCTAACTCCAGACACTGAAACTGAGGCTCAAAGAAGCCACATGGCGGGTTTCTTGGTTTCCGTGTGAGCTCGCTGTCACTGGGGGGAGGGGGCTGGCTTTCACTCCTGCGGGCCCCCGTGCCCTGGCCCCATCCCTGCGCTGCCAGGGAAGTCCCTCTGGACACGGCTGGTACACTACAGAATGGCTGCGACCCCCTGGCCTGAGGCCACGTGACCCTGGGGGCCTGGGGGGCCTGGGCCCCTCCCTCGGTTCCCGGTGACCATCAGGACACTCTGGGGGCTTCAGCAAAACGCCTGCCTTGACGGTGAGTCCAGCAGCCGGTGGCGTCACTGGGTGCGTTTACTTCTCAGGGAGTGCTGTGATGTTTCGCTGAGACTTGGCATCCAGAAATAATAACGAAAATGCCTATTTACTCCACGTCTTCTGGGCCAGGCGCTGCGCTCGGCGCGTTCCTGAGCATTGTCCCATTTAATACTCAAACCGTCCTGGCGGGCAGAGAGCCGGGCTTAAGAAACCTAGGGAGGCAGGGCCCAAAGTGCACTTGAACCCAGACCGAGAAGCCCATGGTTGGGCCTCGGTCCCTCCAGAGGCACGGGGCCCTTTAAGGAGGCCACGGGCCCTGCCAGGCTCTCCCTCTGGGGAGGCCTAGACCTGGGCTGAGGATCCAGGAGGTGCAGTGTTGGACATGAGCCACGGTTGCCTGGATTTAAATGCCTGGATTTAAATGGGGCTGCCCTCCACCAACTTGCTGTGTGACTCCAGGCAAGCAGCTTTACCTCTCTGAGCCTCACTTCCCTACTCTGAGAAATGGGTCTAAGTCTGCCCCATTCAAATTGTGATTCTGTGTGCCAGGTGTTAGGACTACTTCAGAAGTCTAAATGATGGAGGGTTTTCAGAGTTCCATCCATTTTACAGGCGGAGAAACTGAGGTCCCAGGAGGGGGACCTGTGGCCCTCCATCCCCTGTGACCTCAGCCACGGGACATGGGGCTGGTCCAGGCTCCTGCATTTGTGCCCCACAGATTAGGACAGAAAGACAGGTCTGAGCACCGCTGTGGCTGGAGGTATGTGCAAGGGAGGGGCTTAGGCCAAGGCCCTACTGCAGCTCTCAGGGTGCAGGTCATGCCCCTTCATCCATTTGGGAGGCAGAGGTGGGGCTGGCATCTCTCCATCAGCCCCCGTGGTTGTGCTGTGCTTCTGTGGATGTGGAGAGTGGGAACCTGGGGCTGTCCACACTCCTGTTGGTGAGTGTGCTCAGTGGCCCAGGATGTGAGGCTGCAGTTTTGCTGCATGGGGAGGCCATTCATTCTCTCACCTCTGTAACTGTGGACCAAAGTTAAGGGAATCTATGTGGCCTGAGTAGAAGTCTCTGCAGAGGGCGGGGGCTCTGGGGCTGGCGGAGCAGAGAAGGCTCCCAGAGGAGGTGGCTTAGGCCCTGGCCCCATGGAGGTGGCACCAGGGCCTCCCAGGGTGAGTGTCCAGCCATCCTGGTCCCCTGGCCCCTGCCTCTCGGATGTACAGGAAACAGGACCTAAAGGACATGAACCCCTGGGTCCACTTATAGCCTCTGCTGCTTGGGGTAGCCCCTTGGCCTCATGGACCCTCTCACTCCAGATCCCACCTCCAAGCTTGGGGTTCTGGTCCTCCCTCTCCATCCCAGAACCTGCCCTCTTGGTCCTGAGGCCCCAGACCCTCAGCCAACAGTGCAGCCTACTCTTTACTGAGAAAATCAAAGGAGGGACCTCCTCTTGCTCCCACCACAACTCCCACCTCCGGGCACCGGCGTCCCTCACCATGCCTTCCTCCCTTTCCTGTGGATGGATTGTTATCCCCCGTCGCTTAGCCCCCAACTCTCACCTATCCGAGGCCATCGCCGTGGTGAGTCTCCCTTTTCCTGAAAGACACCTCTCTAGACCCTGCACCTGGTCCTTCCACAAGTGCTCGCTGGGGGCCTACTGGGGGCCAGCACCTCCTCCAGGTGCCAGAACAGTCCAGGGGACAAAACAAAGCCCTGCCGACATCCACTTGTAATGAAGATTCTCAGTGAACTAGGAATAGAGGGAAACGTTCTCAGCTTGATAAGGACGCCTATAAGGACATCACACCGTACGGTGGGAAACTCAGCTCCAGGATCAGGAGCGAGGCCGGCCCCCATCACCACTCCTTCCCAGCATTGAGCTGGAAGTCCTGGCTAATGAGATAAGACAAGAAAAGGAAAT